ATGAGGGCGAATTTATTGCTGAAGAATGTGATTTTGATGATGGAGATGACTGTATGAATGGTGTTGATGATGATGCGAGTGGAGAAGACGACGAAAAGCGTGATGGTGTGATTCTCTTGACAACGACCTTGAAGATGACCTTGACGATGAGGGCGAATTTATTGCTGAAGAATGTGATTTTGATGATGGAGATGACTGTATGAATGGTGTTGATGATGATGCGAGTGGAGAAGACGACGAAAAGCGTGATGGTGTGATTCTCTTGACAACGACCTTGAAGATGACCTTGACGATGAGGGCGAATTTATTGCTGAAGAATGTGATTTTGATGATGGAGATGACTGTATGAATGGTGTTGATGATGATGCGAGTGGAGAAGACGACGAAAAGCGTGATGGTGTGATTCTCTTGACAACGACCTTGAAGATGACCTTGACGATGAGGGCGAATTTATTGCTGAAGAATGTGATTTTGATGATGGAGATGACTGTATGAATGGTGTTGATGATGATGCGAGTGGAGAAGACGACGAAAAGCGTGATGGTGTGATTCTCTTGACAACGACCTTGAAGATGACCTTGACGATGAGGGCGAATTTATTGCTGAAGAATGTGATTTTGATGATGGAGATGACTGTATGAATGGTGTTGATGATGATGCGAGTGGAGAAGACGACGAAAAGCGTGATGGTGTGATTCTCTTGACAACGACCTTGAAGATGACCTTGACGATGAGGGCGAATTTATTGCTGAAGAATGTGATTTTGATGATGGAGATGACTGTATGAATGGTGTTGATGATGATGCGAGTGGAGAAGACGACGAAAAGCGTGATGGTGTGATTCTCTTGACAACGACCTTGAAGATGACCTTAACGATGAGGGCGAATTTATTGCTGAAGAATGTGATTTTGATGATGGAGATGACTGTATGAATGGTGTTGATGATGATGCGAGTGGAGAAGACGACGAAAAGCGTGATGGTGTGATTCTCTTGACAACGACCTTGAAGATGACCTTGACGATGAGGGCGAATTTATTGCTGAAGAATGTGATTTTGATGATGGAGATGACTGTATGAATGGTGTTGATGATGATGCGAGTGGAGAAGACGACGAAAAGCGTGATGGTGTGGTTCTCTTGACAACGACCTTGAAGATGACCTTGACGATGAGGGCGAATTTATTGCTGAAGAATGTGATTTTGATGATGGAGATGACTGTATGAATGGTGTTGATGATGATGCGAGTGGAGAAGACGACGAAAAGCGTGATGGTGTGATTCTCTTGACAACGACCTTGAAGATGACCTTGACGATGAGGGCGAATTTATTGCTGAAGAATGTGATTTTGATGATGGAGATGACTGTATGAATGGTGTTGATGATGATGCGAGTGGAGAAGACGACGAAAAGCGTGATGGTGTGATTCTCTTGACAACGACCTTGAAGATGACCTTGACGATGAGGGCGAATTTATTGCTGAAGAATGTGATTTTGATGATGGAGATGACTGTATGAATGGTGTTGATGATGATGCGAGTGGAGAAGACGACGAAAAGCGTGATGGTGTGATTCTCTTGACAACGACCTTGAAGATGACCTTAACGATGAGGGCGAATTTATTGCTGAAGAATGTGATTTTGATGATGGAGATGACTGTATGAATGGTGTTGATGATGATGCGAGTGGAGAAGACGACGAAAAGCGTGATGGTGTGATTCTCTTGACAACGACCTTGAAGATGACCTTGACGATGAGGGCGAATTTATTGCTGAAGAATGTGATTTTGATGATGGAGATGACTGTATGAATGGTGTTGATGATGATGCGAGTGGAGAAGACGACGAAAAGCGTGATGGTGTGGTTCTCTTGACAACGACCTTGAAGATGACCTTGACGATGAGGGCGAATTTATTGCTGAAGAATGTGATTTTGATGATGGAGATGACTGTATGAATGGTGTTGATGATGATGCGAGTGGAGAAGACGACGAAAAGCGTGATGGTGTGATTCTCTTGACAACGACCTTGAAGATGACCTTGACGAAGAAGGCAGATTTCTCGCTGAATATCACGTTTTGATAATGAATATTATTGATGAATTGTAATGATGAGGATGATAGTTAAGTGTCCGTCTCTCTACTGATTTTTCTCACTGTTGCATGCTTATTAATACATTCAATTTACATTTGAATTTACACGATCGATACAATTGATGAATTGAATGCTAATCAATTAGCTGTATATTAATTGATCGATAGACCTTTGATTTAGTCTGTAAATATGATGGATGATAAAAATAATGCGACAAACAATCGTCAGACGTGTAATTCGAGTTAATTTGCTATGCGAGACTCCTCTTGGTGTTTCTGTGCTTTATTCCAAATCTCCACTATTCATATATTGGCAAACAATCTGACTGGTAGCACTGGTAGCACACGCAGCTATCAAATTTTTAAGTAAAGCATCATATTCCTCTTCTTTGGAAGCCAATAATGACGTTTACACTTTCAGCCTTCCCGAAAATTCCAAATCTAGTATTGACTGTTCTGTTTCATTTATGTAAATTTTATAGGGAATGTTTAAACTGAAATCACCGGTAGAATACTTCCTGCTGTAATATACTACTATTAGATCATATGATTAGGGTTGTGGAATTAGTGCAGCTCGTGTTGACACCGCTTTATCTCCAAGACCAATAATGCTTCGACTTTTGTTGTAGGCAGCAGTAATCAACCTGAACATCATCACAGGGGAAGATATTTTCGAATATTCTGTTTTCTGGAGATCCTTGATAGATCTCACTGACTATTTCTATCAGTTATTTTGAACACTCTGTGTGAGCTTATATCCCTCACATTGGCGATAGTCTATAGAAACTCATTCTTCATCCTTCATTATTATGAAGAGAATTGTAATCTATGTCGACCCGCTTCAGCGTCTTCATCCGAGATGTAATATTTTCATTAGGAAAATTTTCCGAACATTCTGAGATACTGTGTGATTCCTCATTGAATAGTACACCTGACCTAGATCACTTTCACCTAGTAATTCCAATTGAAACGATATGCAATATAGTAAAATATGTCAAATAGACGATCTCGTACTCCGATGATAAAACATAATCTATATTCCATTGGATAGGTTGCTTTTTATGAAACCACTTTTGGTTACGCCTCTGTTTTTTTCTTTTTGTAATTAGTTTTCTTACTATTTGCACTTTTCATCAATTCAATACAATTTGTACAATGACCATTTTTGCCTGTAAAATTGTCGTTTCAAAAGCATAACCTTTCACCATTTGTTCCTGTTCGTCAACATACATAGCATGCATGACCCATTAATTATCTGACACAAATTTCCTGCTGCACACGTCAACTGTTGTAGTTTCTCAACAGACCAATCTATTCATTCTTCTCAAATCACATATTTTGACTTTGTCACTTATTGGCTTATTAACTCTGACTGTTTTTCAATGATCGCATGTGTGTGTGTGTAAGTGTGCTGATCGCTTATCCTATTCATCATATATTGTTACTTATTTTAGGTGTGACATAAAAATTGAGTAACGCTTGATTAGGTTGAGTTGGCACACTTGACTTCTCCGATCAGTTTGGTTTCGTTCTATTCTCTTGACCTCCTTCACTGTGATTATCTGATGCTGTCTTCCAATCATCAGTAATAAGAATAGGAGGTGTATTGACATTTAGCCATTAATCATTGCAGCTTGTAACACTGTGGTAGTTAAATCTCGTTCCAGCATATCCACCTGATATTTGAAACAAAGACTCGCTGCTTGAATCTGTAGCACACGCCACACTGTGACTGTATTCAGTCTAACCCGTTGTTGTGTACAACATAAAGGAACACAATTAAAATTGGGTACCGTCAAATTAACGAGTTTCGTAGATGCACACACAAACGATAACTGCTTTGTAGATAGGTTTTCCATACTTTGCTAGTCTCTTGTTCTTCCTTTCTTGAATTTTGTCCAAGGTTCACAGAGAGATCCAAGTCTCTCCCCATTTTCATTTCTTTCTCCTAGTCCATATCGTCCGATTATATCTTCATATCTTGTGTTGTCCACTCCAACTTTAGCATTTAGATATGCCATCAGGATTGTGAGGTCCTTTCGTGAGCACTTCTCTATAATTTATTGCAGCCTTTCATAGAACTGATCTTTATCATCGTCGTTGCTATCATTGGTGGGTGCATAACATTGTATAACGTTCATTGTGATCCCTTGCTTCTTTGTTCTGAATGGTGCTTTGATTATCCTGGGTCCATGAGATTCCCATCCCACAAGTGCATTTCGTGCTTCTCTTGACAGCATTAGAGCAACTCCCTGAGTGTGTGGAGCGTTTTCCCCTTCGTGACCGGAGTACAGCAGCATCTCTCCTGTACCTAGCCAATGGGTTTCGCTGATTCCGAGTACTACCAAGTTGTATCTGCTCATTTCCATTGCTATTTGGCTGGTCTTTCCTGTCTCCCACATTGTCCGGACGTTCCATGTACCTATAAAGAGTGTTGCTCTGGTTGTTAGAAGGTGCATCGGTCTCGTGACTTCCGAAGAATTTCGGCTTTCATCATGAGACGTCATAATTATTCGTTCAACTTGGAGGGCAGAGTTTAAATGGTTTGAATTATTATTTTTTCTGGTTAGCGTTTTTTTAGCGAGTTAGCTTTTCTACGGGATGGGGTCGCTAACCCCATGCCCAACCCTCCTCCTTTGTGTGGGCTTGAGACCGGCAGTAACTCTAGAAGAGCTACAGGCGGAGTTAAGTCAGAACTAGGTGAGCACAAATGAACGTATTACATTCGCAATTCGTGATCAGAGCGCAATCACGTACGAAGGAATCATCAGTTAGTACAATTACCACAGCTACACAACCGAGCAACTCGTACACTTCACTGAACTTACACAGTGGTCAGACTTTAACTAGTACGCTCTAAGCTGCCCACATTCACTATCTACCGATTAACACAATGAAAACACAAATGTGCATTATTTTAAGATTATATTATACAATGTAAAATCAAATTTGTACACAATCAAAATCACATTCTTCTTCATTGTTCCATTCTGTATTCTCCTTCTTTGAATACCTTCATCCTATACCAATCAAAGGAGAATTGATAGAAAATATAAATGAGAATTATTATCAAATCACATTGAAATGATTAGTTAGATTAAACAAATTATTATCATAAATAATACAATTATTATTATTATTATTATTAACATCATCATTCACAACATCAACATCATCCACATTATCATGATAATAATCATCAGTCTCATATACATCATCAACATCATCATCATAGACATGATCTTCATCATCCACCTCATCATCTTCATTATCGTCACCGTTACAATGCTCATGACATCCGTAATCTACTTTATCCGCTCCATCATCTTCATCATCATCCGCTTCATTTTCAACATCATCATCATCATAATTGTCTTCACACAACATTTATCACATCCACAATCTTCATCATCCGCTACATCATCAGCAACGTCATCGTCACAAAACACATCACGTCCAAAACATTTATCATCATCTTCACCATTATCATCATCAACATCCTCACATAACTCATCATGTCCATAATCTTCATCACTCTCTTCATCATCTGCAAAATAATCATCATCATTTACATCATCATCATAATCGTCACAAACCTCATCGTATCCGAAATCTTCATCATCCACTTCATCATCTTCACCATTATCATCATCAACATCCTCAAATAACTCATCATGTCCATAATCTTCATCATTCTCTTCATCATCTGCGAAATCATCATCATCATCATTAGCAGCAACAGCAGGAGCAGCAGCAGGGGCAGCAGCAGGAGCATCAGCATCTGCAGCAGCATCGTTATAATCATCAAATTTTAACACAAAATGTTTTAACTTCTCTATAACTGATATTATCACCAATGTGTAGAACAAATTCGTTGTGATATTCGGAATAATTTCCTCTATCATTGTGCTGTACAATGTCATCATAACCAATAGAGTAATATTGATTATGATGAACTTCATTATTGTAATATTTTCAATGAAATTAGCAGAAGACAAATAACAACCGTCTCCTGCGTATCCAACACTCAACTGATTTTTCTCACTGTTGCATGCTTATTAATACATTCAATTTACATTTGAATTTACACGATCGATACAATTGATGAATTGAATGCTAATCAATTAGCTGTATATTAATTGATCGATAGACCTTTGATTTAGTCTGTAAATATGATGGATGATAAAAATAATGCGACAAACAATCGTCAGACGTGTAATTCGAGTTAATTTGCTATGCGAGACTCCTCTTGGTGTTTCTGTGCTTTATTCCAAATCTCCACTATTCATATATTGGCAAACAATCTGACTGGTAGCACTGGTAGCACACACAGCTATCAAATTTTTAAGTAAAGCATCACATTCCTCTTCTTTGGAAGCCAATAATGACGTTTACACTTTCAGCCTTCCCGAAAATTCCAAATCTAGTATTGACTGTTCTGTTTCATTTATGTAAATTTTATAGGGAATGTTTAAACTGAAATCACCGGTAGAATACTTCCTGCTGTAATATACTACTATTAGATCATATGATTAGGGTTGTGGAATTAGTGCAGCTCGTGTTGACACCGCTTTATCTCCAAGACCAATAATGCTTCGACTTTTGTTGTAGGCAGCAGTAATCAACCTGAACATCATCACAGGGGAAGATATTTTCGAATATTCTGTTTTCTGGAGATCCTTGATAGATCTCACTGACTATTTCTATCAGTTATTTTGAACACTCTGTGTGAGCTTATATCCCTCACATTGGCGATAGTCTATAGAAACTCATTCTTCATCCTTCATTATTATGAAGAGAATTGTAATCTATGTCGACCCGCTTCAGCGTCTTCATCCGAGATGTAATATTTTCATTAGGAAAATTTTCCGAACATTCTGAGATACTGTGTGATTCCTCATTGAATAGTACACCTTACCTAGATCACTTTCACCTAGTACTTCCAATTGAAACGATATGCAATATGAATACAGAATAACGTTATAATTTCACAAGTAATATTCCTTACTATAAGATTGTTTCGATAATGTAATAAGAAGACGAAGATTATCATCAGAATTATGTGATAGTGCAATATTAGTGCAATACATTTCGAACAATCTGATCACACATAATATACTTGTTAAGAACATTTATATATATAAAAAGTAGAAGGTCAACTAGACTGAGAATGAAGGGGAAGAGTAAGAGTAGACAATGATAATAATGATTATAAAAATAATATGGTGAAAACAATTGAACACCTAATCACTCTGGTTAATATGCCTATATTACGAAGTATAAAAACACTCGTATAGTCTCAGACAAAACCACCAATCAAAGATTATCGCAAAAGCGCACCATGAACGAAAATAACATTGTTGAGGTCACAACAAATGTGATCGCGCCAGAAGCTGAGCCCACTGGTACAGCTAATCTATCTCATGTTAGTCAGTGTACTGATATACCAATGCAGTGTGCCAGTTTGCCTCTCATACTCATAGTGGCCCTAGATAACCAGGACATATCTGATGTAGACTCTAATGTCATTCTTTCCAGTGTAATATCGGAAGCCAAGGATCGAACACCTGATTCTATTGTGAAGGCTCATGAAAACACTGCTAAACCTAAAAAGAATATACCAATTAAGAAGAAAGTAAATAAAAAACCTTTTGGTTCTAGACCAAATACGAAAAATATTTCAACGGCCTTATCAAACAAAAGTTTAATTTCTGAAAGCATGCTTAACCCTACTCACCGTAAGAGAGGTTATAAGGACACATTTCGTTGAAACGTTACACGAGACGGCCACTACAATCATCATGTAAGCAGGCCTACTATTAGACAGACGCCAATGAACCAACGTGCCCCATGGTTTCCCCCAAATGTTATAAATAATAAACCTGCAAGATGTAACTCTTATCATCACTCTTGCAGTGGGGAAGATGGTATACTAGGTTATGCACCATCAACGCAACCCCAACATACAGGCACCTGTCTTAATTGTCCACCAAAACAAGTACAACCTTACAAAAATAAGGATTTTTTTCGGCCTCCAGAGATCCCTTGTTCCACTAGCACTACAATTCGCTCATGCTATAGCCCATGCGATCCGGAAAACACATTAAACCGTAGTCCAGGCATAGCTAGAACTCATACCCTCGATAAAGATGCTCTCGGTTTTTTTTACACTACACTCTCCCTTTTTAAACTTATTACTTATTAACGCACGTTCACTTCTGAACAAAATTTCAGCCTTGAGAACCTTAGCCTTTCTAGCCAAGCCTTTTTTTATACTTATCACTGAAACGTGGTGTTATCCAGCAGTGGCCGATTCCGAATTAAATATCCAAAACTATCGACTCTATCGCTGTGACAGAGAAACTAAGCGAGGAGGCGGTTGTCTTATATTTGCTTAGGATACCTTAATAACTAACAAAGTTGAAGATAGTATCTTGAATAGTTAACGAGAATCGATCTGGATATCAATCAATAGCCTGAATCATAGTCTACTCCTAGGTTGTATATACAGAGCTCCTGATAGTTCGGATAATTTGAATGATCTTATTATCAATGCATTTATACATGCATCTACTCTAAACTTCAGTGCTAAGATTATCACTGGTGATTTCGATTATCCTGGGATTAACCGGAATATTCTTTTCAATAATTTCTCATCAGGTTCTACAATTATAAATTAATAATTCATACAAAATTGGCCAAGTTTAAGGCGGAGTACATCATTTAAGAAACTGTAATATGTGAATCAAGGAGTGTTGTTTGTCATATAAAATATAATTAACATCGAATCGTTAATGTTGGAGCTGAATAATATGAAGTGTTAACTTGCATTGTTTTATAGGTGAAATAGATAGAGTGGTTGTGCCAGAATCCCTACGATCGAGGGTGCTGAAGCAATTACAAGCTATCCTTACTGGCCCCTCATGGACCATCATATCGTGGATCTAGTAAACAGATGCGTTCAGTGTCAACAAGCAGCAAAGTTCAATGCGAATGTGCCGCTGGTTCCATGTTCACAGCCTGAGCATCCCTGGTCTAGGATACATGTCGACTTTGCCGGTCCAGTCAACTGAACCACTTATCTTGTCGTGGTCGACGCCTTCTCAAAATGGCCGGAGATTGTTCCCGTCACGCCACCAACGACCACCCAGACGCTGAAACAATGGACGGAGTTATTTGCACGGAACGGATTACCGGAAGTGACTGTATCCGACAATGGTTCGCAGTTCACCTCGGCGAAGTTCCAAGAGTTCTGCAAACGCCTATCCATCAGGCATCTTCGCACTCGACCTTATCACCCACAATCGAATGGGCAAGCGGAAAGGATCGTGGATACGTTCAAGAGGGCTCTGATTAAGTCAAAAGGGGAGGGGACGCCAGTGGAAACACTGCAGAATTTTTTATTCGCTTACAGAACGACCCCTAACGGCACGCTGCCGGAGCAGATGTCCCCCGAAGAGATCCTCATGGGGAGAAGGTTAAGGACTATTCACAACTTGATGCTGCCGAAAACCACTTGCACAAACCACGTCCCGGAAGCTACCCACGTACCCAGTATTTGCTCGGGACTACAGAGCAAATCGTTATCCTTGGATCGAAGCACGTATGGTTGGAAAGGTAGGAGAAGTCATGTACAAGGTTGAGGTGGGAGCGGACAGGTGGACCAGACATCGAAATCAACTACGCAAGCGATTAACGCCAGAGCGCCCATCGACTGAAGTAAAGATTTCACTGGACGTACTATTGGATACATTTAATCTGCCGGCAGCCCAAACGCATGAAGAAACACAAAAGGTCGACCTACGGTCCCGAAGATGGTCACTGCGTCAACGACGAAATACAGTCAGAATGCAAGTGGACCCGAAGAATGTGCGTTATTAAAAAGGGGAGGTGTTGGGGACGTCAAATCCCCAGAACTTACTTGATAAGTGGTCTAATTTTGTAATTTCATTTTGGAAATTTGAATTTAACTGTTTTCGCGCCAAACGCGCTCATTTTAACTTCACATCATATTTCCCACTTGTAACTATCTTAAACGCTATTGGCCCATTGTTTCTTTGTTTGTGCTATTTATTAATGATGCCCAAGGACACTTTGTTGCTGTATAAATACGCTTGACTTTTTCCCTTATTTGATTGCTGTGCTTCTGGCTGCTACGGAATATAACTTTCCCGCTTCCAAATTGGACTTCTTACTCTAGTTAGCTGGGTCTGGGTCGCATCAGAATAGCTAGCTTATTGTCTCTTGTCACAAGTCTTTGTTCCGTTCGCTACTAGTGAATTCGTAACGCTTCGGTTATAACAGTTTAAAAAGAAATTTTTGGGTATTCTTTAACGACGTTAATAATGTAGTGAACGAGAACATGATTAGGGATAACTAATTTATTGTTTAATGTAAAGTTACACAGTGGATTAGTATAATACAAAATCCATACACTGAGTACATCACTGCGTTGTCTTTTACATACTCTATTGTTCCTTTGATTCTTGTCCCATTTCCTTTCTGTTCTCCTTAATTCAATCTTTTGCTGACAGGCATTCCATTTCCAACATCTACTACATACTACTTATATCTGTCAGCATAAGGTTTCAAAAAAACATTTATCCATATTTCCTAGCATTATCGTCCACCATAAATATACTCGACATAAGATAATGCGTAGTGATCTTTATGTAGTCTCGCTTGGATGACGTCTGCCTTGGAAAGCTATCAACTAAAACTGTAGGGAACTGACTAGTAGCCAAAAATATAATTAGGAACACAAGTATTACACACAAGAGGTGACCCTATGGAGTCAATGCTTTTAAAATCTAAAAGAATGAGGGGGTTTTAATGGGCAACAGACCTCTACACACTCCTTACATAACTATACAACATAACAAATGCTAAATGGATGATCTATGCTCCATATAACCACTACTGAATTATAATGACCCAATCCGGCTGCATTGGTTGGAATACTTCTTTTCAGATCCTAACCTGGTAGGTAGGTTTGTTGAGAAGCGGTGAGACTAATATCAGTAACTGAAGATCCCAGGGTCAAGTCTTTCTTTTATCTGTACTGGAACATAATGGTAGTAAGGTGTTTCTTGCAAACGACCAGAATCTCCAGAGATGCTGCCTTTCCCACAGTAGGGGGGATTAGGAAGGGTCGATAACAGAAATAACACAACTTAACGAACTTCTGTCGTCGATGGTATGGTCTAAAGAGTATCAAGATAACACATCAAGAATTCATAGGACGGTTCTACGAACACACTTGGTGTTGTCAAGCTAGAAGATGCACAAACTAAGCCAATAATTATGGTGCCAAGTATTACACAATTTGATGATTAGGTTTACTTATATAATAGATTATGTATGACTGGTCTTAAGCATCAGTCCCTTGAGCTCTGAAGTCACACTAACATGAATATCGTTCAAATCCACCTTGTCTACGATTAAATGATTTGTTAAATCTCTAGTATTTATTTAATCTCTTCTACCAAGACTTTTCTACTGGCTTAATCTAACGATGAATTAAGGAATCATTCCGTACTTTTTATTTAGTTTCTCGCAGACGATATTTATGTCTAGTCTTTTTTTTTGTTTACTATCACTGATGATACTATATTTGATATTTATTTCACTGTGCTAATGAACGTACGTTTAGATCGAATTTCACATCAGTGATGACTGACGATGTTGTATCCAAAGATTAAATTATGGAGACCATTTATAGACTGTTATTATATATACTTATATTCCTTTTATCATAAAAACCTGGAAGCATTGAACGACTGTATCGTTCTAGGATAGGACTCATCAGCAATGTGCGTCTATGATCCTACACACAGGACTCGAAACTAGGACCTTCGGTTTCATGCGTAATTGCTTAACCTCTAGACCATTAAGCCGGCATCCCGATCGTAATAAAAAACATGTTCTCATAACCCTAAACCCTAACCCAGGACCTATCAGTTTCGTGCGCGAGCACTTAACTTATAGACCACTGATCCGGTATTCAATGGTGTTAATGTCTAACTCCAACCGATCCATGAAATTGAACGACACATTAGCACTGCTGAGGAGTCCCACAATATGACGAAACAGCCGTCCAGTGCTTCCAGGTTTTCCATAGTGGTCTAGCTTCAATTGATTCATGATCTCAACTAATAAAATGACTATAATATCCACAAAAACGCCTTCTGATATTATTATATGAGTTATTATTCTTAATTTATTCCAAAATTACTAATTACAGTCTCTCAAACTCACACTCACTTTTGGCCTGATCTTGTATAATCATTATTTTCTTTTTTATGGTTTGAAGGGGTCTGATCTGCTTGCATATAAACTAAATATGTCTGAGAAATACTATTCATACAGTGGAGACTGAGATTGTGTTTTGAACTAAACAGGCAAGACTAAATGAGAAGGACCAAAAAGGATTCAGAGTTGACCCCAAGTTGGTCATACTAGTTAATGAGTCATTGGTTTGTTACATGGCCAAGATCGTATAAATCAGTGTTTTGATTGACAATCTTGCCATGTGATAATTTAGAACAGATCTAGATTGAAATCTTATTCATTCTCCTACTTTCTAAAGGTGATACATTATATCTAGGGTTTAGTAAATGATAACCATTTGTTAATAATTACGATCATATGACTTAGTAACAAACTAATATGTTAGTATCAGAAGGGTTTTGTGGAAATTTAGTATTTTCATAGTTGGAAGCGTGAGTCAATTAAAGCTTTATTTATTTAAACACATAAATATTGGTACAAACGGGCACCAGATATATATGCACCACACAAATCTCATTTGATTTGTGTGAGGGCTGCGATACTACCCAGGTGCCCAGACTAAAGCAGGTGGCTTTCATAGGGGGCCACTCCCAAAGCCTTTGACCTGAAGGTCAGATCCACAAGGTAGTGGAGCATCGTAAGAAGATGCAGTCCCATAGTAGTCGTTGACCAACAGTTGGTTCATACGCCATTCCTTCCTTTTGGATACTGGAGCCCATGGGGATAATTGGTTTGGGATGAGGGTTTTCCAACTCCCCTAGGTGGACGCGCCCTGTCCACCAACCCGGTTAAAGCGCCGGACATTTGCTTTTCGTCCTCTTAAGTTCATAAACAACACCCTCGCCACGAGAAGGCAGTGAGTAGGACTTCCATGGCAGAGACTATATATTCGCGTGGTCATGTGAGAGCATTTGGAGAGGGAGAGCGGACTCTCCCCACTCTTGGCCGTACCAGGGAATTCGGGGGTTGAAGTTAGACCATCATGGAAAACCTGGAAGCACTACTTTACGACCGTTTCATCCTATTATGGAGAGTTCGAAAAGTGTTAATAGTTCTTCTATAAATTCAATCAAATAGTTTAAAGAATACACGTTTATTTGAACGTTTTTTCCACATTGTTTCTATGACAAACCAAGGTAGCATTTACACATGAAGATGTTGATGGGGATAGAGATTGGGATTGTGCATCCCACATAAAAAAAACACACACACACTGAAATGTACAATTTCTATAAATTGGTTAATATTTATGGAGATTAACGAAAGACCTTCCTAAAGAGAGAGAGAGAAAAGTAAAATAATAGAAGTGTAGTGATAGTAAAAATTATTATAGAATATATAATATCACAATACGTTGCAGCTGACTGACTGATTTAAAGAGATAAACATTAGTAAAAGGAGGCGCCAAATACATATGCGATACATAAATTATTCGATTTGTGTAAGGGCTATGATATTGCCCGGGTGACCAAATCGAAGTAGGTGGTTTTCTTAGGGGGACACACGCCAAGCCTTTGACCTAAAGGTCTGATCCACAAGGCAGTGGAGCATCGTGAGGAGATGCAGTCCCATGTTAGCTGGTGATCAGTAATTGGTTTATACGCCATTTGTTCATTCAGAATCCTGGAGCCCATGTGCACTATTGGTTTGGAATCAGGGCTAACCAACTCACCTAGATGAATCCTCCATATTCACCAACCCGGTTAAAGCGTCAAACATTCGCTTTTCGTTCCCTCAATTTCGTAAACAACAGTAATGCTACGAGAAGGCCGTGAATAGGACTTGTGTGACAGTGGTTGTATGCATGTGGCAAGGTTTTGTAAATCAGTAACTATGATCAACTAGAATATTTTTTTACTACCATTGGTTTTAACAAACACTAACTATTTACTCTATTTTATTATACAAAAACTATTGCTAGAGAGAGTTGTAAAGAGAAAAGTGACATCATTCATTTAGATTGAATAAACTACATATAAACATGTCAGTCAGTCAGCAACAATGTAGAACTGCGTACGTACGTACATACATCAATTCAAGTTGCAATACCACATTTACACAGAGATGCAATTGTTGACTCAAATCCCATAATGGTAGAAGTAGTAAGAGTATAAGCAGTAATCCGAAAGATTAGGGTTTGAAGATGTTATTCAAGAAGTATGATGCAGTGAAATAAATTTGGAAAGAGAAAAAAAGATAAAGACATGAAGAATTCAGAAGATTAGAATTTGGGAGAACACAAAGAGTGGATGTACCTTCGCTATTGCAAACGATTTTGAACCATTTCATTCAAGGTCTCTAACCATAGATTGCTATCATCTCGCGGATCCCAACCAGGTAATCTACACCTACCTACCAACATGTCTCAGTCCACTTGTCAGTGACTTCATGGATTTGTGCCATGTTTTGGTTTGGCCGCCCCTAGCTTTCTTCTAACCTACCCCTACACCATAAAACATCGCACGTCAAGGCAGTTGGTACTTTTTGAAATGAGCTGATATCAGAGTAGAAATTACTAAAAGAAAAAAAACAGGAACAACTAGAAAAATGTTTCAATCTAGTTTAGAGTCATCTTTTAGTGATGGTTTATTACATGAACATAATACAGACTTGACACGCATGACATTGATCACCACCCAGTGATCAATCATTTGTGATTACATGAACATCTTTATGCGAAATTGGATAACAAATCTTCTTCCTTCAATTCCCAGGACAGAGTTTAAATGGTTTGAATTACTTTTCCTGGTTAGCGTTAATTTTAGCGAGTTAGTTTTCTACGGGATGGGGTCACTAACCCCATCCTCAACCCTCCTCCTTTATCCGAGCTTGTGACCGGCGGCAGTATCCCCCGGAGGAGCTACAGGCTGAGTTCCACAATATAAATACCATATATTTAGACCATTAAAGTTCAATTATACTTACCTTTTAAAAGAAATGATTATCAATATTTATCAAACAATATCAGAATTCATCATGCGAATATGTTGATTTATTTAAAAAATCAATTGGATCAATATATACACCTTCTGTAGTTGTCCATGTAATTGCATTAGTTAATTTTGGAGTTGAAGATACTTCATATTGTCCAGATATAGGTCTACTATATCGTTTACCTGATAAATGAAGGTATCTAAAAGAGAAACGACAAAGAAAAGAGAAATGAAATGTTTGATACATACATATTACGTGAACGGTTGCTTAACTTCATGGATCAGTTAAAGTTAGACGTTAACACCATTGGATGCCGGTTCAGTGGTCTATCAGGTAAGTGCTCCGGCGCGAAGCTGGTAGGTCCTGGATTCGCATCTCGCGGGTGCGGGATCGTGGATGCGCACTGTCACTGAGGAGTCTCATAATAGGACGAAACGGTCGTCCAGTGCTTCCAGGTTTTTCATTATGGTCTAGCTTCAATTGACTCATGATTTCAACTATGAAAAAATAATTTATTTTTGTTTGATTTTCTCAGGGACATTTTTACACTGTATACACTTGAGTTGTGTGTCTGTTTGTTCATACTTCCGACTGCTTGTGGGATATAATTTTCTCTCGGTTGAATCTGGTCTTCTATCTCTAGTTAGCAGGGCTAAGGCTAATTAGAATAGTTTAACTTGTCTTGTCGTTGTGTTGAGGATCCTCTGTTCCGTTCACTGATTTTAGATGATCTTGTAATCTCTTTAAACATAGCACAATCATGAACGCGAATCAATGAACCGTATATAAATGTATCGGAAAGAACGGTTACTGTACGAAAGATTATAATATACTGGTTTCAAGCTAACTGTAAAATTCTGAATGATTTCTTTTATTATAAAGATTGCAAGATGTGTCAATTGAAGATACGATGCTATAAACAAGATGTCTTGGTGATTGATAACATTGTTGGAATGATTTAGAAAATTCCTCGAAAAAAACACAAAGGGGCCGTGGAAACGCTGAGAAACATTTTACTCAATCAGCATTGAACAGAAGTGTCTTGGAAACATCTAGAAAGTGAGGAGTCACGTGTCACATTTCTCATTGGATGATTGCCTATCCTGCTACTATGTTTAGTGGGGTTCTAGAAACGTCCAGAGACCCAAGGCCATCTGAAATGTCATAAATACCCTCAATTTTCTGTACATAACTTAACCTTGGAGTAAAGCGTTTACGCCATGTTTCGTGCCTTTTCTCTTGTGTTCAAGTTGTCGTGTAGATTTAGCCTGGACTTATCAAAAGAGCTTAGGAAACCGATTCAAGCGTTCAGTCAGAAGATTTGTCGAATATCAAAGTAAAGTTAGTACACTGGCGTAAGTGATTATTTACAATTGATTGATCACTCAGTGTTGACCAATGTCATGTATGTCAGATACTTTTTAGCGCAGATCGAATTCTATCAATCAGTTTGCAATTTGGCCACTAGTTTCGGTGATTCGACACTGTGTGTACTATGTTGAAATGTGAATCGATGGTTGGAGGTAAATTATAGTTGTGGATACATCTCAGTCCTAAAGATCATTCGCGGCCCTAGTAGCTCAGTGGTGACATTTGTGATTATGGAGCTAGGTGACATGGAATCGAATCCAACACGGAGCATCAGCTCCATCAAGATTACACGTACACCTTACTGATGAGTCTGAAGTAGCACGAAACCTAGGTCCAAGGCTTCTGGTAGACTACTTCCAACCACCACCTTATAAGTGATCGTTGAAATTAAGTTTGAAAATGTCAATACATTTACTTTATTCTATTTAAGCACATAAATACAGGACATCAGAAGAAATTGCATCAGACAAATAAGATAATACTGTGAAAAAGTAGAGCACAGAACACTAGGACTGTGGTGTGGGTTACTTATGTCCACATAAGTAGTATATTGTGATGGTAAGATATAGAATGTATTTCGCTAGAAGATTGATAAGGAAAGAACCGAAATGGGACGCAATTGGTGAGGAAATGCATAAACAATGAAATCAGAGATATTTGTAGAAGGAACATTGTAGATATCTGAGTTATTGTTTTTACTTTGCTGTTAAAACCAAAACACGCATCATAGACATTAAACCTGTTTACATGGAGGGTGACCATGGATTATATGGAGTAATAGGAATACAACTTTAGTGTTTAGTGATCATCATATGGAAAATAAAATGATAACAAAGTATAGTGAGACTCAAACAAACCCCTCTGTGGAAATATGCTTTAAACGAATGTTTGACGATTGTTTCCAGTAGACACCATCGCAGATAATTTGCCAATCATCGCCTTCATACAACAAAAAAGATAGAATAGAAACAGATAAAGACGATTACTCGAACACTTAATTTAACTGACTGGAGCGTAAGCTGTGACAATCAAGTGAATAAATTCAAATTGTTAAATCTTAGTAAATTAAAGTGATAGGGACTATTTTGATATGATGGTTGGGATTAGGACTTGACTGTTTAGATATAAGGGGGTTATGAATTTCTTCTGTATACATAAATTGGGGTGGAATGTACGAATTCCTATGGCTTCTGCTATATGAAGGAGACGGGAACGAACTTCATTGGGAAATGATTGAGGTAGGAAATTCTACGCAGCCTATCTTGCATTGACTTTCTCGAGTCGACCAGTGATGTCTACTCAAACGAAGGATAAGTTACCTGAGTTGGCCTCCTCTATGTGCATTTACAAGCTCAGCTGCTCCTGTGAAGATAGCTATATCGGGCGTACTACTAGGCAACTTAACCAACGAATGAGTGAACATCTACCAGAATGGTTTGGGAAGGGCCAAATAAAAACGATACGCAGTTTTGTCTTGGCACATCTAATTGATAGTGGTCATATTGTAGATAAATTGAGATCATTTCATGTGATCTATCGTATACCTCCATCATTTCCCAACGGAGTTCGCTCCCGTCTCCTTCATATAGCAGAAGCCATAGGAATTCGTACATTCCACCCCAATTTATGTTTAGATATAGGCAAGTAAAACAGGGTTTGAACTTAAGAAATGCCAGCTAAAACTGACGTCATTTAACTAATCAAAGGCCTATTTTATTATTGCCTACGACTGGGATATTTGTTTTATTTGATGTGGATGATTATCAACGTAACGTGCAATGAATATCTGAGGTTAACGCTATATGGAAATGGCAATGAGCATTTGCTAAAAGGTCTGATCCACAAGGCAGTGGAGCATCGTGAAGAGATGCAGTCCCATGGTAGCCAGTGACCAACGATTGATTCATACGCCATTTGTCCCCTCAGCAAGATACTGAAGTTCGTTTGCACCATTGGTTTAAAATCAGAGTTTTCTAACTCTTCTAGGTGGACTTTCCGTGTTCACCAACCCGGTTATATCTCCTGCCGGACATTCGCTTTTCATCCTCTGAATTTCGTAAACAACAGTAATGTCACGAGAAGACAGTGAGTAGGACTTGTGTAGCAGAGGCTATATACGCCTGGCCATGTGAGAGCATTTCGAGGGAGAGCGGACTCTACCCACTCTTGACCGTACCAGGGCATTTGGGGGCGAATGTTTTGTTCATCCTAAATAAAAGCAAGTACTTCAAAAAAATGGTAACATGCAGTCTGATTTTATGCCATAAAATAGCGGAGCAGGTGACGTCGGCTATAATCGACTAGTATAAAATGAAATACAGGCGAGATTACGATAAAGATCAGTCGTAAAGTCATATTATGATGAACAAAACACGAGTGGGGGACAATCGAATGTATTTAAGCACAAATTACAGACTATCTTACTAAATTCTGATAACCATACAGCCAACAGTTAATTTGCATAATAACCATCAATTGTCTCAATCTTAACTGTTCCTTCCGCAAATATCAGTACATCGTCTCTAAATTCATTGTTCATGCATTTTCGTACCAATTGCGCTTCATTTCAGTTCTTTCCTTTTCGGCCTTCTGACAAAATACATCTTATGTCTGACCATCGCCATATACTACTTATATGGATATAAGTAGACCACACCACAATATTACTTTTGGTGTCTGAAAGTAGATAACATAAGCCATTCACGTCCATCTAACTATTATTTGCTTGCTAGTGATAGATCTATCTAATCAATTCGAGAAATTATCTGGAGTACATCACAATGAGATTTTTCAAAAGAGCATAATAAATGACACGATTTTTATTAGTATAGGGTGTTTTTTTAGAAATTAACTTACCTTCATCGCCTACTCCATTATTACTGAATGCTGAGACTTCATAATTAGGCGAAAGAGGAGACTGAAAATGATGACTGTGAAGATATTTCCGAGTTGAAAGATGCATGAGTCTGATTTTCTGTCCACATTTTATAACTCTACCTCGATTGCATTGAGGGCTACCATTACGTTCAACAACCTAGATATGAAGTGAAAACGATTTCCCGTCGAAACATTCAAATCCTTGTAATGGCAGTACAAACACTTGTGAATTATTGAAATCATAAAATTACTGGGTTATTCTTCTTACACTCTAACATTTGAGGGTAACTAGGAAGATCCGTTAAGTTCATGTTAAGACGTAAAAAAATACTTGTTTCAACAATCAACTTCTAGTATGCTGCTACAAAAGTATTGGATAGTAGTCAATCTTTTTATCAAGTGTATGGATTTCCAAGTGTTAACCGATAAAGCAAAATGTATAAATACAAAGAGCCATGTACAGCATTACAGGATACGTGTAAACTTTAACCGATATCTGGTTAGAGCCAACATTTATTTGTTGATTTAATCTATCTGAAAGTTTATTATAATAAATTTCATTAGAGATTTTCAAAGCTTGAAACAGGTACATCCAGCTGACGAGTCTCAAATAGGGCGAAAAAAGTGTCCCGGATTTCACTGCTAGCCACAATCCCTGCTTATGCCCCCAAATGCCCTGGTACGGCCGAGAGTGGGAAGAGTCACCTCTCCTTCTCGAAATGCTCTCATATGACCAGCGAATATATAGCCTCTGCCAGGGAAGTCCCACTCACTGCCTTCCCGTGGCGGGGGTGTTGTTTACGAAAGTGAGAGGACGAAAAGCGAATGTCCGGCGCTTTAACCGGGTTGGTGGACACGGAAAGTTCTCCTAGGGGAGTTGGAAAACCCTGATTCCAAACCAGTGGTGCACATGGGCTCCAGTATCCTGAGGGAACAAATGGCGTACGAATCAACCGTTGATCACAGGCTACCATGGGACTGCATCTCCTCACGATGCTCCACTGCCTTGTGGATCAGACATTCAGGTCAAAGGCTCCGGGTGTGGCCCCCTAAAAAAACCACCTGCTTCAGTCTGGGCACCTGGGCAGTATCACAGCCCTCACACAAATCGAGTGAGATTTGTGAGGCGCAAATGTATCTGGTGCTTCCTTGTACCAATATTCATGTGTTTAAATAAATAATAAATCTCTGCTTATAATGTTAGAAACAATCGCCTGAGAAATACGTGTTTCTAAACGGAAGTTTATGATTATTTTGGACCCTTCGTTTACAAAAGACCCAGTATTCCTAAGTAGTGAGAAGCTCGGCATGTAATTTACGGAACGAAATGAACAAAACGATTTGAGCATAATGATGTGAACTAATCGTGTCAAGTATTTATTAGCTGTTTATATGTACTATCTAATTAGATTATTTCAAGTGGAATTCAACACAATTAGTAAGAATAATGTCAGTTATTAGTCTACGCGCACAAGTATCGAAATGATGTGGCGAAAATTGTATGCATTTCAAAAAATACAAAACAGCATAATGTATGACGAATCAATACCATGTTTAAAGAACTATTAAGAATGGATCGAAGTTTAAACGAGATTGTAAAGCTTTGAACAGCCTGTCGCACATACATATGGATGAATAAGAAAGTCGATTAGTTAAAAATAGAGTGTGATAAATTAGTCCCAGTAAGTTAAAGTAAAAATGCAATTCGGTTTAAGTTACCGGTTTCACTTTTAAAAGTAAGATATTGGTTAAAATCGTTACAATTGCACTAGTGTTAGGTGGGTTTTGACTTCCTTAAACACTTCAACCAGTCAATATAGTACGTAAATTAGATAGAAACTACTGTTTAGTATTTTTATGGTAAGCAATATCTTCCGCATAATGCAGTGTCCTAACCACTAGATCATAGAGTGGACAGGACAACACTATGAAGGCTTCTTCAACACTACAGCCTACCTGCGAAGATAGTCAACATCATACGGAATTCTTATGATGGATTTAACTGCAAAATCGTGCAAGGAAGACAACTCACAGACTTATTCGAAGTAAAGACCAGTGTTAGGTAAGGTTGTTTACTCTCACCCTTTCTCTTTCTGACCAATTATCATCTGGTTGGCCGTTGTTTTGCAGGTGCATATCAACAAGATCCGTTTGATAGAGACAAAGTTCTTTCCCCACAATCCACTGTTTAGCTGCAATCATTAGCTGCTCCTTGCTTAATGTGTCTACAATTACTTATTGTTTGTTGACTGGCTAGATAGAACATAAGAGGTAAGGAAATAGTTTCCGGTAATACCATCAGCAAGAATGAAACACAATACATTCACATAAACGTACGTAGCAATGGAACAATCACTAAATAGTTGATACAATTAAGGGTAATACATTTCATTCAATATCCTTAACGGAAACCCATGTGTACTCATGACTAACCACCGAGCACATAAATATTCCCATGTCACTAAAATGAAAGGACTCTCGAGGTATTTGGGTGGGTCTGTGAATGACCTATATTTCATTAATCCGTCTTCCCCTACATCAGTGACCAGACCAGGCTTAAATGAAGTTATTTCAGTATTCTTGTGCATAATTACTTGTTTCTTTGAGTCTTCCTTACCGGTTATTTGTGTACTATCAGTCGAAACGCTAGTTTAAAGCCTATCACAGAAAGACATTTCCGCATAATGCTGAGCTGCTTGCTTGGCTACAGCATACCCGCTATTCACTGATTTCTTAATTTGCCTCATATAAGACTCGAATGAGAATACTGAAAAACAGTCTAAAGGTCCATGTGCACGAACATTGTCAGGAAGGTTCTGCAACAAATGTACATTATAAAATAAGTTTTCAGACCCACAACACCATCCAAATTCTTTAAAAAAGTTAAGTAAATCCATTCTGTTAAGGATATTGAGTGAAATGTATTACCCTTAATTGTATCAACTATTTAGTGATTGTTCCATTGCTACGTACGTTTATGTGAATGTATTGTGTTTCATTCTTGCTGATGGTATTACCGGAAACTATTTCCTTACCTCTTATGTTCTATCTAGCCAGTCAACAAACAATAAGTAATTGTAGACACATTAAGCAAGGAGCAGCTAATGATTGCAGCTAAACAGTGGATTGTGGGGAAAGAACTTTGTCTCTATCAAACGGATCTTGTTGATATGCACCTGCAAAACAACGGCCAACCAGATTTTTTGTTTTATTTGAACACATAAATATTGGTACAAACGGGCACCAGATATATATGCACCACACAAATCTCATTCGATTTATGTGAAGGCTGTGATACTGCCCAGGTGCCCAAACCGAGGCAGGTGATTTTCTTAGGGGGCCACACCCAAAGCCTTTGGCCTAAAGGTCTGATCCACAAGACAGTGGAGTATCGTAAGGAGATGCAGTCCCATGGTAGCCGGTGACCGACGATTGGTTCATACACCATTTTTTCTCTCAGGATACTGGAGCCCATGTGCACCATTGGTTTGGAATCAGGGTTTTCCAACCAGATGACAATTGGTCAGTCCTGATGTGTAAAGTCATTCACGAATGTGGTGAGTTGCAAACATAGAAACGATTATTTCCTATAAATAGTCCCCAGGCTGCAAAGGTTTCGGTTTCTCTCAAAAAATTAGATGTTTACCGTACCAACAGTTCTAAGAACGAAAACACCCTGCCACTAAACAATGAGAAGCCGAAAAGGTCGGTACGACAATCTTACTAATATTTTGTAGAGGTGTACTGAAACGGAAAGAAGGGTTTCTTTACAATTCCGTTGACATGGATGTGGCCGAGATGCAGGCTGGAAACACAAACGTCCAATATCCTAAATTTCGGTTGTCTGATACCGTTGTGTCACTGATTGCCAAGTAAGCGTGTTTAGTTTGTAGACGTTAATTAACTAGTTCGACACAATTAGATACGTTGCCCTCAACGTCCGAATCTAGGAGCTTATGTAGTGCGTTAGCGGCCGTGTCCGATTGAGTGAAGTTTTTAAGATTTGATAGACTGTATGCTGTACAGCAGGACATATGATCGGCTGTTTCAGACTTGAGTGCGAACATGAGGCAGCTTCTTCCAAAGCCTGGTGGGCTCAAACGTCCGCGGCAACTCGATTGCGGATCATCAAGTCAGCAATCCCCTTTGTCATCTGAAGAGGAACTGGAAACGCTGGACGCTTATCTTCAACAAGAAGATATAAGAGACAAATTTGCAAGTCAACAAAACTAATAGGATCATTTGTTCGTATTGCAGATGGCCACGTTGAAGCGGTTAATGGATGATAACCCTAAAACGTCTATGCGCTATACTTTTTCATACGTCATGACACCTGAAGTTGTCAGTCATTTGACGCTACTTGGTACTTCATCGAAAAGGGCACTTCAGAAGTGTAGTTTTTACAGCTGCATGCGAAGTACGAAATTTTTTTAAAAACTAATCAGTTTCTGTTCTCATCCATCTACGAGAAAGACCTTGCGAGACTGTATGACATCGCGACACGAGGGTATTTTCAGGACATGAGAGACAAAATACAAAAAGCGTCATCAAAAACAAGAAAATGTATGTACTGATTTGAAGTCCTAACTATTCTCTACTGTTCTATAGGTACAGTGTTCAGTGCTAACGAACATAGCCGTAAGTAAAACTTCACGTAGACAGTTGCTTAAAAAAAGACAATAGCAATTAGATATAGTTGTAATTTCTTATGTTCATTAAATTTCAGAATTCACAAGATTAATTTACTTCTCAATAGTACGACAGGCGTTACAAAAAGGCATTATCAGTATGATATTTTTCATGTCCAACTACGTTTTCGATAAACATTTTTTAAACATACGCTTATTTTCTAACTTGCATGGGGGAACCTTTAGAGCGAGCGTTGAGAAAGCCTGTTTGATTTTAAATGCACTTGTAATTAAGTACATGTGCCTAATAACCTGTTCTTTCTTTTGTAGATCTTTTTTCAAATTACAATAAAATTCGGCAATTAAAATTAAAATACATAACGACTGATGCTTTAGCATCTGTCAACTATTCACAATGTTGTACAATATGTTTTTTTTCTTTTCAAAAAACTTTTATTACGCACCATTTTTAAGGTTAATTGCAGTTGTTATGTGGCTTTTTGTGGAAATAAAGGCGAAAACAGGAGACGTTTGGGTTAGGTCAAAAGTTTGTTATAAATTGAGGCGAAATTAGATAAATTGGCGGGTACTTCGGCGAAAAGTAGACAATTCAGCGACATCTAAAACACAGAGAGATACATAGGGGAAAAACCGCTTTATTTCACCCTAACAGGCGAAAAAGCAGACAGTTGGGTGCGTTTCCCTATTGTTTCACCTAGATTTTCCCATGTATTTTCCCTACTGTTCGCCTTTATTTCCCGTTTCTTGGTTTCTTTGTATGACATGTACTGCTAACAAGGTGATTTGTACACAAAAGTGGCTAGTGAAGGTAAACAAACCTGCCAATAGCTGTTTGTATCCATTTCGTCAGATACAGCGGTAACAGATTGCTGCCCACTCCCACTACCATACTGAACTTCGTGTGAGTGAAGTCGCGCATTGAAATCAGTATTCACTAGCTTGAGCACTGAGCCGCAAGTCACAGTGCCTTGCTGTGAAGTCGATTCTGAACAATTCATTATATGTGGGGAAATAGAACTTACCTTTTATGAATACAATAAAAAAGGATAACGCGAAGACTAGGAACATGACCTAAGGAGACTTTAAACTAACCTCGTTGTCGTGGACACCTTAAAACAATACTTAAAAGTGTAGAACTAGATTTCTCCGTTTAGAATAAGAGATATGGGTAAATTTTTCTCCACAAGAAGTACACAATGTCATCTTGGCGAAGCAGTATAAACCACTTGAGTTCTAGGTGTTTTCCTATCATGTTTAGTAGCCTGCGATCGCATGCACGTTTGGGTTTTTACCTGACTACAGTAGTAGTTCCAGTTCATCTGGGTTTCAGGCTTCTTTTTTGGTACGTACATTTGTTTTTTTTACTTTTTTTCTCTCTAGCATTTTTTTGGATGAGTTGAACAAAATGTCAGCTACCGGTTCTTTCAAGGGTTTGTCAGAATTTATCCCCAGTGTTATAATCAATATGCTTGTAACTTGTTTACCAAGCATTGACAGTTCTCTGTGTAGAAATAATGAACTATAGTTTATTGGTATCTGAGTCTCTAGGAGTGGGAGAACGCTTACGATACTAAATTGATTCCATCAATGACGATGACAATGAAACTTGAAAAATTTACTTCTTCAATTCATTTCCTATACGATGTCTGGACTGATCCTGTCAAAAAAGTAGTAATAAATCCAAAAATGAATTATGCTGCGAAAATTCACTACAAACTTCCATGCTTCACCAACCATTCGTTGCTTACTTACTTACGCCTGTTACTCACAACGGAACCTAGGCTGCCAACAACAAATTCCAACGCACTCTGTCCCAAGCCTTCCTTTCTAGTTCTATCCACTTATCGTTTATTCTTCTCATGTCTGTCTCAATTTCTCGTCGTAATTTGTCCTTTGATCTTCCTCTTCTTCATCAGATCTTCATCAGATCCACCGTCTTCATCAATGATGCTGCACAGATATTTAACGGTTTTCACATCCTCCAAGGCTTCTCCGTCAAGTGCGATTTGATTGGTGCATGCTGTATTGTATCGGAGAATCTTGCCTTTCCCTTTGTATATGTTGAGACCTACTGTTGCTGAGGCTGTTGTTACACTGGTCATTTTCTCCTGCATTTGTTGTTGCGTGTGTGATAGAAGAGCCAGCTCATCTGCGAAGTCTAAATCGTCTAGCTGTATCCTAGCTGTCCATTGTATCTCGTGCTTCCCTCCAGATGTTGATGTCTTCATAATCCAGTCTATCACCAGTAGAAAGAGAAGCAGTGAGAGTAAGCAACCTTACCTGACACGAGTCTTTATTTCGAACGAGTCAGTGAGCTGTCCTTCATGCATGATTTTGCAGTTTAATCCATCATAAGTATTCCGTATGATATTGACTATCTTCTCAGACACGCCGCAGTGTCGAAGAAGCCTCCATAGTGTTGTACTGTCCACGTTATCAAATGCTTTCTCGTAGTCAATGAAGTTGGTGTGGAGTGATGAGTTCCATTCAGTTGATCGTTCCACAATGATCCGTATGGTTGCGATATGGTTGGTACACAATCAATCCTTACAGAATCCATCCTGTTGATCTTGAAGTTGGACGTCTACGAAGTCCCTCATTCTGTTTAACAATACTTTAAAACAATTAGTCCCTTTTATAAATTTCGATAGAACAATGAGAAGACGTAGTTGATCTGAAAAATGTGATGTATTTGCGCTATACATTTCGAACAATCTGGTCACACATATACTTGTCAAGGCATTTTTATATGAAAATTAATAAAGGTCAAAGAAACAAATAAAAGTACAACTAAAATAACTAAGGGGGAGAAAGAATAAGAAATTGTCGCGTTATTCTAGGCCATAGAATGACTTAAGGATTACCAAGGTAAATTCAAGGTTACGACAAATTGTTTTTGTACACATAAGGGTTTATTGAAGTTTATTGAAGCCTTAGCTATTCGTAAATTTAAACCCCCCTTATGTGTACAAAAACAATTTGTCGTAACCTTGAATTTACCTTGGTAATCCTTAAGTCATTCTATGGCCTAGAATAACGCGACAATTTCTTATTCTTTCTCCCCCTTAGTTATTTTAGTTGTACTTTTATTTGTTTCTTTGACCTTTATTAATTTTCATATAAAAATGCCTTGACAAGTATATGTGTGACCAGATTGTCCGAAATGTATAGCGCAAATACATCACATTTTTCAGATCAACTACGTCTTCTCATTGTTCTAACAATACTTTGTTGAAGACTTTTCCTGGTATTGAGTAATGCCTCTGCACTTATCACACTTGTTCAGATGGCCTTTCCTAGGTATCTTGATCAGAAGTCCTTTTTCCCAGTTTGTTGGTGCTTGTTTTCATCCCAAATCCTACTGAAGAGAATGTGGAGTATCTCTACAGTTGCTGCTACATCTGTTTTCACTGCCTCTGCTGGAATGTTGTCTGGTCCTGCTGCTTTGCCGCTCTTAATTCGTCTGATGGCTATGTTGATCTCTTCAATTTTTGGTGGGCCAACATCGATTGGGAAGTCCGTGGATACTGCTTCGATGTTGAGTGGGTTCAGTGGAGCTGGTCGATTCAAGAGTTCTTTTAAGTGTTCTACCCACCTGTTTCGTTGTTCTTCAATATCGTTGATTACTTTGCCTTTCTTGCTCTTCACTGGTCTTTCTGGCTTACGGTAATTTCCAGCAAGTTTCTTTGTTGTATCATACAGTTGTCTCATGTTTCCCACTCTTGCAGCCTTTTCCGCTGTCATCGCTAAATCTTCCACATATTTACGTTTGTCGGTTCTGATGCTCCTCTTCACTTGCTTGTTTGCCTCTGTGTATTCGGCTTGTGCCTTGGCTTTTTCCGCTCTTGTTCGGCTGATATTGATTGCTGCCTTCTTGTTCCTTCTTTCTTCAATTTTATCCAGTGTAACAACAGTGATCCATTCATTGTGATGGTGCTTCTTAAGGCCCAGAACCTCCTGACCTGTTGAAACGATTACCTCCTTGATACCTTTCCGGTTGCTCTCCATGGTAGTTCCTTCTCCATTGAGTAGATCATGAAAGGCCTGGGAGGGCTATCATGAATTTGTTGAGTTTTTCAGTATCACGAAGAAAAGCCGTATTTAAATTTTGTGATGTTGTTCGCCCCATTGTTTAGTGCTTCTTGAGTTTCAGTTTCATCTTGGCTACCAGCAAGTGATCTGATGCTATATCAACTTCTCTCCTGGTTCTCACGTCCTCCATTGTCCTTCTGAACTTTTTGTTGATGCAGATATCGTCAATTTGGTTCTGTATAGTGTGATCCGGCGAAATCCATGTGGCTTTGTGTATTCGTTTATGTGGGAATATGGTGCCGCCTCTTAACAGTTTGTTGAAGGCACATACGTTTGCAAATCTATCTTCCAGTCCATGTAATCATATGATGTCTTCATATCCGGGATCGTTCTCTCCAACCTTGGTAGTTAGGCCTGCCATCAGACTGGCCAAGTCCTTAGTTGGACATTTCTCAACGATTGACTGCAGTTCATCATAAAATTGGTTTTTAAGGTCTTTAATCTAGTCGTTGGCAGGCGCACAGCATTGGATGACGTTCATTGTAATGCCCTCTTTCTCTGTTTTGAAGGAGGCTTTGATGATCCTTGGTCCATCAGATTCCCATTCTATAGATGAGTTTTGTTTGACCAGCATCAATTCAACCCCTTGTGTATGTCGGACATTTTCTTCTTCATGGCTGGAGTATAATGGCAGCTCCCCTGAAGCTGGTCTTTGTTGTACAACCTGCGTCCAATGTGTTTCACTGATTCCAAGCACCTTCAGGTTGTATCATTTCATTTCTGAAGCAACTTGGATGACTCTCCCGGTCTCTCACATTGTACGAGAATTACACGTACCTAAATTAACAGTTGCTCTGGTTATCAGAAGGGGCATCAGCCTCATGACTTCTAAAGGAAGATGGCTTTCATTATGAGACTTCATAACTCATCTAAATGAAGACCTAACGCCGTGGGCAGGTTTTAAATTGTTTGAATTGTTTCTGCCGATTAGCATTTTTTAGAGAGTTAGTTTTCTATGGGATGGAGTCGATAAACCGCATATCCAACCCTCCTCCTTTATCTGGGTTTGGGACCGGCAGTAACCCCAGTGTGGCTCCAGGCAGAGTTAGCTACCCAATGACCAGAGCTAAATGTTCCGACGTGCAGTACATCCAGATCGGGAGATCACATCTGTAGTCACAAAAACGTACGACAAACCGGTCACGTAGTGATGGTCCTGATGTGTGAAATGGCATTGGTCCTGACCACACAATCTTCAAAGCTGAATATGAGATATTTGTATAATAGATGTTCAACATTTATCATGGAGAGATGGCCAATGTTATATCCCCTGGTGAATTACGAATGGTAACTTTTAGGTCTATTTATGGATCAGTAAAATCTGCTTATTTCCTGTTGTACAATTATTACGTAACTGAACTATTCGTATTTCTCTTATCATTAGCTTTATTTTGACCTTGACTTATTGTCATACGATTCTTGAGTTATAATCAGTTTATTGATTACTTTGGGTTGTATAAAAACCCAGTGTGTTTGTAAATAATGATTCATATTGCCAAGGCTGTTATTTGTGCTCTGGACTTAATTGTTATGATAGACGAGTCAGTGTAGGCAATGATGTGGCTTCCACGTAAGATCTTGTAGATTAGGCAGTCACATCATGACATATCTGCAACTTTAGGATTAGGTTTATTATTAGAGCAGTATTAATAACGAAGTATATCATAATTTTACATATATACATTTTCTATTTATGTAGGGAACATAATATTTTACAGGTAGGATCTTTTTATCCTTTGAAAGTTATTAAGAAGCAGGAAATACTGATCATCACGATGGAATACGTCAGGGCGGAAAAATGACATGATTTCTATCAATGATCATGTAGATTGATCGGTCACATCATGTTCCAGTCAAGTGCATCAAACAGAAACCGTTAATCTAGCAGCATAAGTTCAAAAATAACACTCAGTCCAAAACTGAACTAGGTTGTAACGGTCGAAATGACAACATTCGGTTCGAACTTAGAACTAACG